CCACTCGGCGGGGTCGCAGCTGCCTCTGGAAGGCACCGAGATGTACCTTTTCCGCGCAATGGTCAAAATCAAGGTTTTGTAACGCGAGCTGTGCCACAGTGAAATGGAACTAGCCATCTAGGATGCGCATATCATCTGTAGATGGCGGGGTCGCCGCCCCTGACGCCTTTTCGGGCAAAACATCAAGCTGCATGTCGGTTTCGACTTGACGGCGGCATGGAGGCATCACGTCTCGCCATGCCGCCGTCAAGTCGCAGCCAGTCTGCCACTGCGGCGATTACAGCGCTCAGTCCTCAGAAAAAGGTACAGCGAGCTTTTCAGAGTCAAGCGATTGCTCGGGTGCTCAGTTTCGTAAGTTTTCACACACGGGGGCTCCAATATACTCGACACCGGCGCACGGCAGTGCAGCCCCCTCAAGCTACGTCAAGCCCAAGTGCCCACACGGCACACGCAGGGAGTCACGGCCTCCGCAGACCGCCCCTCCCCCGACTCCTCCCCCCCCCGCCGCCACACCGGCGGCAACTGTACGCGCTGGCCGCCCCTCCGGCGCCCGCCCCCGTGGCCCGAGCCGCGCGCGCGTCCGCCACGCGCGCTCTGCGGCTCAGGAGCACTTTCGGCTCAGAAGCACTTGCGGTGCACGATGGACGGGCCCGACTCGTCGTACTCCTGCTTGGAGATCCACATCTGCTGGAAGGTGGAGAGCGAGGAGAGGATGGAGCCGCCGATCCAGACCGAGTACTTGCGCTCCGGCGGCGCGATGATCTTGACCTTCATCGACGCGGGCGCGAGGGCGGTGATCTCCTTGGACATCCGGTCGGCGATGCCGGCGTACATGGTGGTGCCGCCCGAGAGGACGACGTTGGCGTAGAGGTCCTTGCGGATGTCGACGTCGCACTTCATGATCGAGTTGTACGTCGTCTCGTGCACGCCCGCCGACTCCATCCCCAGGAAGGAGGGCTGGAAGAGCGCCTCGGGGCAGCGGAAGCGCTCGTTGCCGATGGTGATGACCTGGCCGTCGGGCAGCTCGTACGACTTCTCGAGCGAGGAGGAGGAGGCGGCGGTCTGCATCTCCTGGTCAAAGTCGAGCGCCACGTACGCCAGCTTCTCCTTGATGTCGCGCACGATCTCGCGCTCGGCGGTGGTGGTGAAGGAGTAGCCGCGCTCGGTCAGCAGCTTGACCATCCAGTCGGTCAGGTCGCGGCCGGCGAGGTCGAGGCGGAGGATGGCGTGCGGCAGCGCGTAGCCCTCGTAGATGGGCACGGTGTGCGAGACGCCGTCGCCCGAGTCCATCACGATGCCGGTCGTGCGGCCCGACGCGTACAGCGAGAGGACGGCCTGGATGGCGACGTACATGGCGGGCACGTTGAAGGTCTCAAACATGATCTGCGTCATCTTCTCGCGGTTGGCCTTGGGGTTGAGCGGCGCCTCGGTCAGCAGGACAGGGTGCTCCTCCGGCGCCACGCGCAGCTCGTTGTAGAAGGTGTGGTGCCAGATCTTCTCCATGTCGTCCCAGTTGGTGACGATGCCGTGCTCGATCGGGTACTTGAGCGTGAGGATGCCGCGCTTGGACTGCGCCTCGTCGCCGACGTACGAGTCCTTCTGGCCCATGCCGACCATCACGCCGGGCTGGCGCGGCCGGCCGATGATGGAGGGGAAGACCGCGCGCGGCGCGTCGTCGCCCGCGAAGCCCGCCTTGCACATGCCGGAGCCGTTGTCGACCACAAGCGCCGCAACCTCGTCGTCAGCCATGTTGTACGGGGGTGGTGGTGGGTTTGTCTGCGGCGGCGGGGGCGGCGAGGGGTGAGGGCGGCGGCGCGGGGCGGCGGCGGCGAGGCCGAGAGAGCGAGACGCCTGTGTCCGACGCTCTCAAAACGGGATCGGCGTGAAGCGCGCGTGAAATGCTGAAATCCTTGGCCGAACGGAAGAATTCTGGGAACCGCTTCTCTCCCTCCAGCAGACTCCACTCAGGATGTGTGGCAGCCCGCTGGCTGTGTGTCTTGTGAGCTTGTTTGTGTCTGTGTGTCGCTCGTGCGTGTCGTCATCATCTGTCTTGCGTCCACCCATACCGCGTTGGTGTCCAGTCCGAGCCTGACTGTTCTTACTACATACATACATACAGCAGACTGGAACAGAAGAAACTTCCCGGAAACATACATCTCACACAGGGCGCGGGGCGAGCCACATCATCACTGGCTCGCGGCAATAAGGGCACTCTCGCATGAGCTCGGAGCATGGACCGCACACGCACAAGTGGCTTCAGATGTTGCTCCGCCGCCTCTGACGCCTCTGGCCCGATCAAGCGCTCGATGGCGCTGACTCGCTCCTCGAGACTACCCCCGGTCGCCACGCCAAGGCTCGCCTCCAGCCGCTCGACACGCCGCATCAGGTCCCCGCCGCCGGTCGACTCGCTGCTCACCGCCTCCTCGCACCGCGACACCCGACGCGCCAGAGCCTCCTCCTCCGCATCCACCTCTGACCGGCGCAGCGCCTCTGCCAGCTCCGCATCCTCGCGCAGCGCCGCCCGCTCCGAATGCATAGTAACAAAAGGTCGCCAGCGGGTGGGACTTGGACTGAGGCGGCTCCGAGGCGAGCGAGCGAGCAACCGGCTCGCTCGTCGCCTCCGCGTCGCCGGCGGTGCGCGTGTTCTTGGGCGGCCCGCCTCCGGCCGGCTTGTGGTAGTCGAGGAAGGCACCCACCACGATCGAGATGACGGCGACGGCGTGCTCCTCGCCCGGGCACTGCCGCGGCGCGGGGGGCTGCTCGTTCTCCCACCCCCGCCCAAAGGGCCCGTTCCACACCAGGTAGCGGTCGTGGTCCGCGCGGCCGGGCGCGAAGGCCATCGCGTCGTCGCCCCACTCCTTGGGGTCGAGGTGCGCGGTGTTGTAGTTCGCGACGACGATGCTCTCCGCCGGCAGCGTGACCGTGCCGTCGAGGAAGGGGCACTGCATCCGCTTGTCGAGCACCTGAGGGACCGGTTGAGGTGTGCATGGTTCGCCACCCTCGCTGATGGTGGCGTCACACTGCCGGGATGGGCCGAGCGCCTTGTGAGAGCCGGCGACGGGGCAGGCGAGGTACGGGGAGATAGGAGAAGATGTGGGGAGATGTGGGGAGATGTGGGGAGATGGCACGCCTTGTGAGAGATGGCGACGGGGCAAGCGAGGTACGGGGAGATAGGAGAAGATGTGGGGAGATGTGGGGAGATGTGGGGAGATGGCACGCCTTGTGCGAGCCGGCGACGGGGCAGGCGAGGCGGAGGGCCTGAGGGCGAGAGGCGTGGCTCGTCAAAGGAGAGAGGTGTGAGGAGGGGCGGGCGAGGCAGGGCGCCTCGATGACGAAGTCGGTCGGGCAAGCGCGGAAGAGGGCCGCCATCTCGTCGGCGTCCTCCGTCCACTGCGGGCTGTTTCCGAGCGCCTTTGGGAAGACGCCGCGCGGGAAGCGGAGCAGCTTGGCGAGGGTGTTGGAGCAGCCAGAGGTGGTGCCTGCCGCAAGCGCGCGCGCGCCGGGGGGGGGGGGGGGGGGGGGTTTAAAAAGGGCCAAAAAGGGCCAAAAAGGGCCAAAAAGGGCCAAAAAGGGGGAAAAAGGGCCAAAAAGGGCCAAAAAAAAAAAAAGCCAAAAAACCAGGGCCAAGAAAAATTAACCCCCTCGCCTGCCGCCGCCGCGAGCAACAGCGCCATGCAGACCGAGTCGAGCAGCTTGTCCACCTTTGGCTCCTCCCGCGAAGGCACGTCCGAGCTGCCGAGGCAGGAGCTGCACGTCGCCTCGCAGCAGCTCGCTCCGGAGCCGGAAGGGCGCACCTAAGCAGCAGGCTCCCGACACAAGCTCCCGACACGCGGCTCGAAGGTCGGCTCCAGGCTCCGGGCGGGACAAGCGGACGGCCGCGCACCCCGTTCACGTCGGCTGTCACCGACTCGACGCCCGGCACCGCGTCGGCGAAGGCACGCCAGTCGACCGGCCGGCCGGCGAGGGCCGCTGGCCTGGCGCTGTTGCAGTGCAGGTAGAGGAAGCGCTTGAGGGCGGAGGGGGCGAGCGTGCCCGCCGTCTGCAGCAGCGGCGGGTACGAGGGCGGCAAGAGCCAGTACAGCGCGCCGACGGTCGTGTAGATGGCGACCTGCGAGGTGGCGTCACGCGTCATCTCGCCCCATCTCGCCCCATCTCGCCCCATCTCGCCCCATCTCAGTCGCCTTTGTGACGAGGTCGTCCCACGCCTCCTTCGCCTCCCCCTCGAGCGCGGTCGGTCGCACGTCGAGCAGCAGCGAGGCGAGCGTCTCGAAGACGGGCTGCGCCATCCACCGCGAGCCAAGTGCCTGCTCACAGCTAGAGCTGTGAAGAGACGCTGATCACAGCTGCGCCATCCACGCGCGAGCAAAGTGCCGCGGGCGGCTGGATCCCCCCCCACCCCGACGCCAGCCACGCGTCCAAGTGCGGCCTCGCCTCCTCGCGCGCAGCTCTGCCGCCGTCCTTGAGCTTGGCGACCACCGACGGCGCGCCTAGGGGCGACCAAGAGAGGGCTCGGGAGTGGCGCACCGAAGGCTCAGCACATCGCCCTGCATATTGCTCGCCCGTGATGTGCTCGCGGAAGGCTTTGCGCCAGGCGGTGTGGTACTCGGCGCCGGTGTGGAAAAAGAGCGGCAGGTTGGTCGCCTGCGGCAGCGTCGCCCCCTTGATCAGCCAGCCGTCGAGGCAGCCGGCGCGCTTGCGGTGCGGGTCGAGCGCTATCTCGCGAGCGAGGCCGTAGTCGCCGATGCGAACTGTGTCCCAGAGCAGGAGGTTGCGCCCAAAGTTGGCGTCGAGGTACTCGCGCCTGGCCGGCAGCAGCGTGTCGGTCCACATGCGCTGCTCAAACCCCTGGAAGAGGAACTGGTACCCGTTCATCGCCAGGTCATAGGTCAGCGACGGGATCCGCATCAGCAGCACACCAAGCAGCGAGTTGCGGAGCGGGCCGGTCAGGCACCACATGGCGAACCTCTGGAACAGCAGCGGGCCGCAGCAGCCGGACAGCACGAGCACGACCCCGATGGGCCAGCAGATGAAGAGGAATGCTATCCACGACAGGACGGCGTCGAGTGAGCAGCTGCGAAGGTAGGGTGTCCCGAAGGCATGCGTCGCCGTCTGGCTGCCCGCGACAGCAAACTCCTCGCGCTTGCGGCTGATGTACTCTTGCCGCGGCTTCGCCGCACCCGCTAGCTCTGCCGCCTCGCGCTCCGCTCGCCTCGCAGCCTCCTGCTCAGAAGCCAGCTGCGCCGCCCTCTCCTCCTGTGCGCGAAGCTCTGCCGCAGCCCGCGCTATCAGTGTGGTGACACCGTCGCTCCTCTGCAGGCTGATCTCAGCGCCGTGCTGCAGCAGCAGCTCGACCACCCGCTCGTGGCCTTGGATGGCGGCGCACATCAACGCGGTGTAGCCGTTGCTGCTTTGCAGGTTGATTTCCGCGTCGTGCCGCAGCAGCAGCTCGATCAGCCGCTCGTGGCCGTTGCCGGCGGCGCCCATCAGCAGCGTGATGCCGCTCACGCCGTCTCTCTCGTACGTCGCGTCGGCCCGCCCGCCGCCATCAAGCCACGCCAGCACCGCCTCCTCCTCGCCTCGCTCAGCCGCTAGCACCGACGGACGAAGTGGGTCAGGGGGGATGGGTTCCGGCTCTTTGGGAGGGATGGGGGGGTTGTGTGTAGAGGATGTAGACTGTAGAGCGCAGGTAGAGTTGTGCAAGAACCATACCTGTACAGCTCTACACGCGAGAGACCGAGAGTGTCCCTATTGCCGCGAGCCAGTGATGATGTGGCTCGCCCCGCGCCCTGTGTGAGATGTATGCCGATCTGTGTGAGATGTATGCCGGGGAAGTTTCTTCTGTTCCAATCTAAATAAATAATAAATACAACGGACACGCCAAACGAGGGGTGGGAGAAGGACAGGGTGGTCCCCACCTGCACAAGCAGGATCTTGTAGGACGATCAGGGACACAGGGGAACGGGAGCGGGGAGCGCATCGCGACACGGAGGGGGGCTGGGCAGGGGGTTCACCCTCACGACAGGAATCCCATCTCTCGTATAGGACAGGTTGCACCCGGCGGCACGGGGGCAAGCGCGGGCCTCCTACTGGTTGCGCTCTCCTAGTTCTCCTGCTCCTGACAAGGGACAGCGACAGGCTCGCAGCACGGTGGACTCCCTATCCACTGGCGATCTCTCTCGACTAGCGACCTTCCTCCGACGTCTCACCGGCAGTCTCTTCTACCACAGGCAGACTGACACGTGGGTGGCAGTGGCGGTGATAGGAGTCTCCCACTCTGTGGGCCTCGCTAGAAGTGCGACCCCTGCGTCTGTTCCAATCTGCTGTGAATCATCGCGCTTCGAGAATTCTTCCGTTCGGCCAAGGATTTCACGCGCGCTTCACGCCGATCCCGTTTTGAGAGCGTCGGACACAGGCGTCTCGCTCTCTCGGCCTCGCCGCCGCCGCCCCGCGCCGCCGCCCTCACCCCTCGCCGCCCCCGCCGCCGCAGACAAACCCACCACCACCCCCGTACAACATGGCTGACGACGAGGTTGCGGCGCTTGTGGTCGACAACGGCTCCGGCATGTGCAAGGCGGGCTTCGCGGGCGACGACGCGCCGCGCGCGGTCTTCCCCTCCATCATCGGCCGGCCGCGCCAGCCCGGCGTGATGGTCGGCATGGGCCAGAAGGACTCGTACGTCGGCGACGAGGCGCAGTCCAAGCGCGGCATCCTCACGCTCAAGTACCCGATCGAGCACGGCATCGTCACCAACTGGGACGACATGGAGAAGATCTGGCACCACACCTTCTACAACGAGCTGCGCGTGGCGCCGGAGGAGCACCCGGTCCTGCTGACCGAGGCGCCGCTCAACCCCAAGGCCAACCGCGAGAAGATGACGCAGATCATGTTTGAGACCTTCAACGTGCCTGCCATGTACGTCGCCATCCAGGCCGTCCTCTCGCTGTACGCGTCGGGCCGCACGACCGGCATCGTGATGGACTCGGGCGACGGCGTCTCGCACACCGTGCCCATCTACGAGGGCTACGCGCTGCCGCACGCCATCCTCCGCCTCGACCTCGCCGGCCGCGACCTGACCGACTGGATGGTCAAGCTGCTGACCGAGCGCGGCTACTCCTTCACCACCACCGCCGAGCGCGAGATCGTGCGCGACATCAAGGAGAAGCTGGCGTACGTGGCGCTCGACTTTGACCAGGAGATGCAGACCGCCGCCTCCTCCTCCTCGCTCGAGAAGTCGTACGAGCTGCCCGACGGCCAGGTCATCACCATTGGCAACGAGCGCTTCCGCTGCCCCGAGGCGCTCTTCCAGCCCTCCTTCCTGGGGATGGAGTCGGCGGGCGTGCACGAGACGACGTACAACTCGATCATGAAGTGCGACGTCGACATCCGCAAGGACCTCTACGCCAACGTCGTCCTCTCGGGCGGCACCACCATGTACGCCGGCATCGCCGACCGGATGTCCAAGGAGATCACCGCCCTCGCGCCCGCGTCGATGAAGGTCAAGATCATCGCGCCGCCGGAGCGCAAGTACTCGGTCTGGATCGGCGGCTCCATCCTCTCCTCGCTCTCCACCTTCCAGCAGATGTGGATCTCCAAGCAGGAGTACGACGAGTCGGGCCCGTCCATCGTGCACCGAAAGTGCTTCTGAGCCGAAAGTGCTCCTGAGCCGCAGAGCGCGCGTGGCGGACGCGCGCGCGGCTCGGGCCACGGGGGCGGGCGCCGGAGGGGCGGCCAGCGCGTACAGTTGCCGCCGGTGTGGCGGCGGGGGGGGGAGGAGGAGTCGGGGGAGGGGCGGTCTGCGGAGGCCGCGACTCCCTGCGTGTGCCGTGAGGGCACTTGGGCTTGACGTAGCTTGAGGGGGCTGCACTGCCGTGCGCCGGTGTCGAGTATATTGGAGCCCCCGTGTGTGAAAACTTACGAAACTGAGCACCACGCCCCGATCCATGACGAGAGAGACAGTATTCTTCGGCCGCTGCGTTATATTACGCCGACTCCGCGGGCGACGACGCGACGACCGCTGCGTCCCCTAACGCTCGACATGTGTGCCGCCGCGGTGCCGGCGGCGGCCGTCGCCTCTCAGGCGCTGGAGAGCTCTCGTCACGCCGCGCCAAAGCTCCGCCTCGATCGCGTGCGGGAGTAGGGCCGGCAGGGCAAACGGCAAGCCGAGCGGGTGGATGACGGTCCGCACCCACCGCCCGTCGCCCGTGCGGAGGTAGGCGACGGCGAGGATCGACGAGCCCAGCGCGACCAACGCCGCCGCGAGGAGGAGCTTGAACGAGGTGCTGCGCGGCTGTGCACTGTGGACCAGCCCGAGCGAGAAGGTCACGCCGAACTTGAGCGGCGAGCTGCTCGTGTGGTGGAGGAGCTCCGACTCGATGGCCGCGGCCGGCCGCAAAAACATGGTCGCGACAGCCGTGGCGGGGACGAGGATGCAAGCGGCGCACCAGACGTGCCCCGCCAGCCGTCCGTTGCCCGAAGCGAGCTGGGTCAGGTAGGCGGCCGCGAAGAAGGGCAGCGTGAAGGCGCCGGGCCGCGCAATCCAGAGCGGGACCGAGGGGCGTGGCTCTTGGTCGTAGTACGAGGCGGAGTGGGAGCGGACCCAAAAGACCACGGCCAAGAATGCCAGCGCCTGCCGGAGCACGGCGCCGCAAGGCAAGCGCGAGAGCGCGCGCCGCGTGCGTGGCGTCAGCAGGAGGGCGAGCGTGACGTAGCTCGCGCCCGCCGAAGCGCCCGCGCCAAAGGAGGCCAGCCCGTTGGTGAGGAGGACGGGGATGGCGGCCGAGGCGACGAGGACGGCCGGGATCGGTAGACGCGCCAGCGGCAGCCACGAGCGCGGCGCGAAGAGCAGTGGCGCCGGCATGTGCGGCTGGCGTCCTGCAGGCGGCGCGGGCGGCGGCGCGGGCGGCGTGGTAGAGGTACTCAGCTCGCCGCTCACCTCTGGAGGCGACGGTGGCGGTGTGCTGCCCAGCCCGCCATTGCCGCTGGCCCCCAGTCTGGCGGTCTGGACGTCTGCCGGCGGGATGTACCCTGGGGAGGGCAGCGAGGCGCCTGCCCCCACGGAGCATGAGTACGGCATCGGCGGCATCGGCATCGACATTACCGTCACCACTGGCATCATCGGCGTCGCCGCCACCGGCTTCACCACCGCAATCGGCACCGCCACCGCCATCGGCAGAGCGTGCATCGGCGGCGGCACCGGCTGGTGCGGCGGGGCGGGGGCCGGCATAGAGGCGGGCGCTGCGCGCGACATCCAACCCGGCGCCGCTCCGCCATGGCTGGCCAACGAGGAGGCTGCGCCGCCCTTGCGCCGCTCAGGCGGCGACGCGAGCCCAATCAGCGCGGAAGCCGCGCATGCATCGGCGGCGGCGGCGGACGGCGTCCGCTGAATCTGGCTCTGAACCTGCAAAAGGGAGGTGAAAGGTGCGAGGAGCGGCTGAGCCCCTAGCCGCGGCGGCTCAGCCGCACGCCCTGCCGTCTCCAACAAAGATGAGCCGCTCGTCCCGGGCCCCTCCCAATCCGGCAGCGGAAAAACGGGCGTGAGAGTCCGTCCGACGCGGAACTCGACCAAAACGGTTCCAGAGACCGCGCTGCTGGCAGCGAGTGGGATGAGGCCGGGCAGCGGAGCGCCCGGCGCCTCGTCCCGCAAAACGACCAGCGTGGGCCCGGTGCAGTCTGAGGTCTGGTTGACGACGCGGTGCGGCGGCAGCGGCGTCGTCGCGGATGGGGTGCATTCGTTCCACACGCCTTCTGTGCGCCGGTTCTTCAGGCCGCGAGGAGCGATGAAAATGCGCGACGCCGCGATTAATACTCCCCCCGACCTGCACCGGCTGCAAAAGTGCTCTCGAAAGGCTCCGCCGCCGGCAGAGAGGAGCACTTCTCCACACAGTCGAGCAATTGAACCGCGCGACATCTCGTGGCCCCAGCAGTTGAAGGAGTGCTGCGTGTGCGTCTTGCGCTTCTTGCGAGCCGCCTTGTCGGGCGTGCTCCCGCCGTTGGCGTGGTCGACGGCTCCGGCGGCGGAGGGAACGAATGCAGCCGAGCTGAGGCTACCTTCGGCGACCTTCGCCATAACTTGCGGCGCTGGCTCGCCACTGTCGTCGGGGCTGCCTACGCTCGACGTCGACATGGCGGCAAGCGCTGGATGGTCAGCGTCGATGGCCCAGCTGCGATGGCCACAGGTGCAACCGAAGCCGGTCCGATATGCGCCGCGCGCCGAGCTTGATCGCCGTCGAGATCTCGGCGGTGCGGTGGTAGCGAGACCCCCGGGGGACCCGGGGGACGCCAGTGTGTCTTCTCGGCTGGTTGGAACACCCGTGTGTTTCTTGTGCGCGCGGATGTGTGTGTGTGTGTGTGTGTGTGTGTGTGTGTGTGTGTGTGTGTGTACATGTTTCCACGCACCGCGTCTCGTTTCTTTCTTTTCCTTTTTTGTTTGTTTCTCTACAGCACCCTCTCCTTTCCTCTTTATCTAGTTTCCGGGGGAAAATCATCAATTTTCCGGGCTCTGAGCCGAGTCTGAGGGTGAGGCTGGTTTGGGCCCAAAATCAGCCGAATCGGCAAAATACCGGGGTATTTTGCGGGTATACCTAAAACTGCGGGTATACCTGGAAAACACCCGGGTAGTTTGCCGGTTTCCTCGATTTTGCTTCAGATTTTGCCCCAGGCCAGCTCTCAGACTTGGAGCACTTGGAGAGGACCCCCTCTGGTTTCCCTCTGGGTTGCCGGAAACCTGTATACAGGCCAACTCACCCCCATCACCCTCCCGTAACGCCAGTTTTCTTCACGTCAATCGGACATACCCGGGTAGGCCTTCCCCCATTTTGCCGTCGGTCGGTCATATTTCGCTCTTCACGTCGGCCGAATCGCAAAGAGGAGCCCCGCGCACGCACAACTCGTCTCCGCAGGAGAAACCCCTCCCCAAAGAAAGACACAGGCGAGGTGGGTGGGTCACGCAATAGGAGAGCGCCACACACAGGGCGCTCTACAGACAGAACAGAGGGGCGAGCGGCGTCCGTGCTCCGTCCGGCGGACACAAACTGCGGTACGGCAAAGGCCAAAGCCGCTAGCAGTTGCATAGTTTATTTGCCGCAGCCCCGCCCAGCCGCCCTAGTTCGTCCCCTTGGTAGAGAAGACTAATCCTGCGGGAAGCAACCAGCCACAAACCGGTACAGGCTAGGCCGAGCGTTTTTGATCTCTGGGTCTGTGGGGGGCCGAGCCGCCTCGGGGTGGCGGGCGGGCGGGCGTTTTGAAAAACAGAAAACAGAAAACAAGAGGGGGCCCGGGGGCCCAGGCCCCCCACTGGGAGTAGAAAATACGCCCAGGGGGGCCAAGGAGGCGGCGCGGGGAAGCAGCATCACGTGAGAGCAGGAAGGATGGCGCTTAGGGTCGGGCTTTGAACAAGGGTTTCCAGGTTTTAGATCAGTATTGGTGTCGGCACACATCCCCACATGAGGTCAGCGGCGCGCAGTGCCTCTCTCGCAGGCTGATTTTCTTTTTAGCTTGTTTTTGTTTTCAGTCTAGGGGGGCCGACCCCCTCAGAGCACAGAGGCGGCGGGCGGGCGCCCACAGACCCAGAGTGCAGAGATCAAAAACGCTCGGCCCTACGCTACAACATATTTCACGATTCAGTTTCACAGAGCTTGTTCACAGAGCTCAGAGGTACTCTGAGACGGACTCTCCGTCGTGCAGTCTGCTGCGAGCCTCAAACAGAAACACACGGAAAACTCCGACAAACGACAGTCGACACGCCTCCTCGCTCCTGTGTCGGAATTCGCGAGGACGCGACCTCGCTACGTGTGCGCAGGCTGCTCCCTCGCGACCCCACACTCTCGCTGCATCGACCATCGTGCAAAGGTGCATGCTCGCCCTCCAAAGTCCGGCACCGCGGCAGCACCACTGCTCGGCCGCCCTCAAAAGTACGGCAGCACGTGCCACGCAAAGACGTACCCACAGCCATCCACCGCCTCGCCGCCCCAACTGCCGGGCCAAGTGGTCTCGAGGAAGTGGCCGGGGAGAATTCTATCTCCGCGGCCGTGCAGCGCCCACGGTGAGGCGGCCCCGTCTCCGAGGGGCGCCGGGAGAGCGCCGTCGAGAGCGGAGGCAAGCGCACCTACCGCCCGCACGCGCGAGCGATCAGACCCGCGGCCGCACGGCCGCAGAGTCACCCCGGCCCTCCGCTCCTAATATATGGGAGGGGGGGAGGGGGAGGGGGGAGGAGGGTCGGTGCTACAGGGCAAGGCGAGGACCTGCAGCTTCCTCTGACTCGCGTCGGCCCCACAGGCTGAGGGAGACTCGTTCCTGGTGCTGTAGGCACCAGCGGCTTCCTCTTCCTCGCGTCGGCCGCCCTCCTCCCGGTAAGCCTGGTCGCCGCCGGCTTCCTCGCCGCCCTTCCTCTTCTCGGCTCCCTCCTCAACCTCCTCCTGCCTGCGCTCCTAGATGCGGATCTCTCTCTCTCTCTCTCTCTCTCTC